GTTATATAGATATGTTTGAAAATATAAATTGAACAAAATGGTCGGTCAATTTGGAAATAAGAACAATACACTTTAGTGTGAGAGTATCTAAACAATAGTGTTTTTATCGCTATTTGTAATACCATTTGTACAACCGTTTTGTCCTTATCTTGTAAACCAATATAACCGGATTCAATACTAATGTTAATATTTAATAGTTGATTAGACTAGACTGTATATTTTTTTGTTTGCAGTTACTTTTACTTTTATCTATATTCAACACACAAAACACTTAAAAGAAGACCAACACACTACGCTGAAAGAAGAATGAGTGTGAACGTATCAGCGCAGCAGTTAGTGGGAATGGTGCTTGGTTGTGGGAAGATGTGCAAAGGTTAGCCAAGTCACGGCGCGTTGAGGTGAGGCAACATCACGAGCGAGTATCTCCGCTACAGACTACAGGGATGTGCCACATCGACAAGTGAAACCAATCGACTTAAGGAAACACTCCCTGGGTGTAGAGAGAACCTCTTCTACAGGCAACACTACAGGTATGTGCCACATCGACAAGTGAAACCAATCGACTTAAGGAAACACTCCCTGGGTGTAGAGAGAACCTCTTACAGGCAACACTACAGGGATGTGCCATATCGACAAGTGAATCTAGTCGACTGAAGGAATCACTCCCTGGGTGTAGAGAGGACCTCCTCTAGAGACTACACTACAGGGATGTGCCACATCGACAAGTGAAATTAATCGACTAAAGGAATCACTCCCTGGGTGTAGAGAGGGCCTCCTCTACAGACTACAATACAGAGATGTGCCACATCGACAAGTGAAATTAATTGACTAAAGGAATCACTCCCTGGGTGTGGAGAGAACCTCTTCTACAGGCAACACTACAGGGATGTGCCACATCGACAAGTAAAACTAATTGACTAAAGGAATCACTCCCTGGGTGGAATAGTAAAACATCCAATAACACTTTGCACAACAGCCATCACACAGACTACTAATTTTCATACACCGTCCTTAGCCGACTACTGAAGTCGCTCGCCGGTTGTGATTTGCAAATTTGTATAATGAAAAATTTTTTAATTATTTATACTGACTAAAAATGGAATTTTAATAAAAAATATAACTCACCAGTCCCATGCTATATGCTCCTAAATACATAGCTTTTCTATTTGAACGAAAGCCAGTTATTGAATGAATGAAAACCTGTATATGATTCACACTCTGTTATACCTCCACATTACTCATAGCATGTGTAGTCAGATGGAAAATCCGACGAGTCTATCAAGACTTTGGCAATGTCCGTGGGTTGCGGTGACATACATCGCGGATGTCATCATTCTTTGGAGTTGTAGCTAAACTGTGACGTAAATAAAATAAATAAATGGAAGAATTCAATGTGTCTTATACACATTGACAGATTGAAACACGTCAAATTAACAAATGCTCTATGAAAACATTACTAAGGTTTGATAATTCAACTGTTGAAAAAGCTAAACTAAATACAATATGCGGTTTTCTGCTAAGACTTGAAATATTTTTTTGAGTAAATTTGCCTAGTTAACTTTTGACTGACTTAAAAAATAGTAGTTCCTCACAATCTACACAAGGTGTTTGGAGGAAGATTACCTTAATATTCGAGGAAACTATGTTGAAAAATGTTTGGTTGACAGAAGAAAGTTGACCAGTTAGTTGTTCACCAAGGGCACTTAAATTAATTTTTAAAACTTTCAACAAGTTTTCATCCCCCTTTTTAGGATTCTAAATTGGCAGGTTGAAAACAAGCTTGTACACTGTTAATATAAACTGGAGTTTTACCGGTAGACCATTGGCAATGACGGTTAAGATCTTTTAATATCCTTATTTGCAAATACTGTACGGTTTGATATTACGAAACGTTTTCCACCGGTCCATTACTTTCTATATTTACTCATCAAATTAAATAAATAGTAGGTGAATGGTCAAAGTACTTGCCATCAAATCTGAAGTTCGCTGGTTCGAGTACAAGCGAGATTGTTTTTGGACTCAGTTGCCATTTGTCATTGGACTATCAATAAATTAATGATACAATCTAAAAAAAGGTCTACGCTAGAAAGTAACATGACTATGGTTTGGACTGTTCCCTTACAAAAATCCCCAAAAATGATAATGGCGTAGAAAAACACGAAACAAAATATGGATGTAAACTGAAAGTAACAAAATACAACTACCCATTATGGTATCCTACAAAAAAATATAAACTGATGAATAACAATTATAAAGGAGGGCCTGAAGTCATTTTCATAACTTTTTGAAGTCATAGTGATTTTCAATTTTCAATGTAGTAATTTTGTTAAGCTTAAGTTATATTTTAAATTACTGTAATTTCATAATTATGTATTTGGGTTAACAATACTCTGAGGAGTAAAATTTGGTATTAATCTTAAATTAAATTTGATGTGTTCAACTTCCTCGAAAAAATATTATTTTTTCTATAAATCTTCTCCTATTTTACATGCCTTAATTTATCACCTTAAAATACTGATGCATCAGCTGTTAGATGTGTTTTTAATTATAGTTTGTTTGTTTACTTTATCGCTTTTGATTCTCACCTTAATATGTTTACGTTACGATAAAGTTATTAGCTGTGATTCTGCCACACACTGCAAAATGCATAAGAGATTTTGATTAAAATAAGCAATATGTACATACGTACGATTGAGATTTGCCTGCATAATGTGTATTCTAAGTGCGTGTAACTGTTTTTTACAGTAGAATTAGAGACCCATATATTCTCTTAAGTATTCTTGCTTCGCAACAGAAGCACGGGTAAATTAATTAGCATTTAAAGCTAAAGGATCACGAACTTTTGATAATTTGTTCGATAAATCCTCTCCTAAGGGCATATGCCTAAATTAAAGGGTTGTGTTCAATCTCATTAAAGATATTGAAGATCCATCAGCTGTTATATTTAATTTTGTTTTTATTTGTAGTTTGTTTGTTTACTTTTTTCCGATTTAATATTTTGATTCTCACTTTATATGTTTACATAAAGTTATTAGTTTTGAGTCTGCCTTACAGTTTAATTCTAATACCACACAAGAGATTTTCATTAAAATAAGAAATAAGTAAAATTGAAATTTGTCTGTATATTTCATGGTAAGTGTGTGTAATTGTTTTTGTAGTATATTTAGACACCCACACGATTCTCTAAAGTATTCTTGTCCCGTTGCGAAGCACGGGCAAACCTTGGAACTTGGTCTAATTAAGTTTCATAATTTGTTCAGCTGTAAAATGAATAATCACTGATCTATAACCATTTTATTCAGCAGCCAGTTCTAAAGGTATTTGGAATTTATTTAATGATTCGTGGAGAAGTAAAAGCTGTAACACGCGCAACGCTTTCTATAATCATAATAACATGTCTTGTCACTTGTGAATTTAAATACACAATTTACACAATTTAAACATTTAAATATTTTTCAATATATATATAACATAAGCCAACAGACAGCCTGTTGAGGAGTCAGCAGCGCGGTGGAGTATCGTGTCGCCAGTTCCAAGGTTGACCGCTCATCAGCCGCGGTCCAGCCAGTGAGGAGGTGGAGCTCTACATACTGTCAAAACAACCGAACTGTTTCAGCTGACCACCAAAAGTCTTAAAATTGGCCACAATAAATATTTAACTGCTAACTATCCCAAGGCTATGTTTGCAGTATGTCGATAACCCTGTTTAACTTAATGAGGCAGCGAACTTTCCATTGGCCGTTAATGATAACTGTCGTATGATAACATTTTTGGTCAACAGTTGTAGCTAGATAGTTTAAGGTCACTTTCTATTAGCAGTTTTTACTTAATATTAGCATCTAATGTGAAGTTTGATTACAATTTCACTAATACAGTATGCTTGTTTTCACACCACGTTGCTATTCTCAATCAATTAAACTATGATATTATGTGGCTGGCTGAAGTACACAATACTCGCAGTTAATTCCATTACCTACGCTGGGCGCATGCAGGTAAGTGAGTTTGTGCAACTAGGCTAGTTTCAGAGGAATAGTTGGTTGTATGGTTATTGCCAGCAAGTAGTAACATCATAAATACCATGTATTAGCTGCATGCCAGCATTAATAAGTTATTTAATATAAACTAGAGGTCATTCAGTGGTCGAAAACTCGACGAAAAATATCTAATGTAAAGAATTCTTAATTTTCACCCCTCGCTGTAAATAAAACATGTGATTGGAATTTCTTCCATTTGTTTTGATTTTCTGTGTATATTTTGTTGTTTTTTTTGTCACCAGCATGGCAATCCATAAGACCCATGTTAATTTTTTTGACATTTTAAATTCATTTTGTGTGCCTATTTTTGAGCCTATTTTAATTTATGAAGGAATTCTGCACATCTACAGGAAAATATCTTTATAACAGTATTTTCCCTGCGATGCACACGAGCTGAGAAAAAAGGTTTTAAAGAAACATGATTGCCTATTAATATATAGGATGTGGAAATGTAGTGAGATTATTGTTAAAATGTTAAATATCATAACAAACATTACAAGTTACATTCAAGAGCTAAATATTGTATTGCTGTTGGATCCACTGTTCATCAAGAGAATTTAACCTTTTACACTTTACCAACTCACTCCTATGTATGCCAGCCGTCTTACAAGTTAAGAAGAAATCATGGTTCGCTGTAAAAGCTGATTCAAAACAATTAGTTCATTAAACTTTACAATGATGTGTATGACAAATTTTCTCAAGTGGGCCTGGGCAATTGACTATGAGTAATTTTATTCATTGTCTAAGATAATCTATTACAACGCAATACAGACCATGTATTTTAATACCTATCCTAGAAAATCGCAACTTAAGTTTTTGAACTATTTTGCAATCTTTTGGTAGAGTCAGACACTGGCAACTTCAAAACACATTGGTTTCATATTAAGATACGTTTGAACCATAGCGCGGATGTTGTTGTAGACTGTAGACCGGAGACTTGAACGGTGGTACTGATGTAGTTCTTACCTGTAGCTGTGGAGGCGGTAGATGTGGATGTTAGTACAGTGGTGGTCTCCTGGGCCAGGACACAGGACACTGACACCAGCACCAGCAGGATCATGGCAGGACACTCACAGGACACTAGTACACCAGTACACTCACGCACACTACACAGTACACGGACGTCTGACACTCTCCTCGGACACCTATTGCCGACTCACTACCTCTACCTCAGTACCACCTCGCCGCTCACCGCTCACCGCGCGGCTGGGATTATCGTGCAGGCGCAGGGGAATATCGTGCACTCAGTGGGATTGTCGTAAGACTGCTACGGTATGGAGCTGCAGCTAACAATAATAGTATGATCATTATTATAATATTAATTAAAAAAAAAACTTGATTTTTCAAATTCAACAACGATGTATTACTCACATAAACATTCAAGATAACTATAATCTTTTTGGTAGAAAAGTAAAAAAGTTCTTACTGCTAACTTCTTAGGTTCAAGGGAATTTTCTTTAAGATAATCTTTATTTTAAGTCTTTCCAGCCTGGAAAAGGAATAAGACTAAGCTTGTACTGCAAATATAACTGGTTATAATAAGATTACCTTATCACGAAGTAAGATAAAAAGAAAACTGTCCAACGAGAATTAGTTAACTAACCACCGATAACGTTTTTAACCACTATCGCAATTGTTTTACCGGCACACATTGTCTTCGTCAGTCTGCGTATACCGAGAAACATTTTTAGATCTTTCGTCAGTTCTTTCACCGATGGAGATGAAATAATCGTGCGTGGAGCGTACAATTATCGTGCTCACAGACGATTCTGGTGCACCGCTCTCACCTGGGCGCGACGCCAGTGCCGCCTAGCGGACTTCCTATAAACCCTCCTGGAATTCCTATTTTGCTTTTTAGACCTCTTTTTATTGGCGAGTGGCGAGTGCCGACTGCCGCTGTACTCCTCCACTACAGTACTATCCCTGGCTTCCCCGCAGCCCTCACTCTACAGGTGCCATTCACTGCCATTGTCACGGCAAGCAGAAATCACTACAGAAACATACTGGAGAAATGTACATTACAGAGTATACTTCTGATGGATTCGCTAGTGTAGAATCATATTTGTTATTTTAGTAATTAGTAACTTAATACATGTAACAATCCTCCTTACAGTTAATATCGCCGTATAAACATTTGCCGCTAATTATAAATTGAAATTTCAGATGGAATTTTATCCTATCACTCTCTAAAAATAACCTTGAATTTGGGGAAACCAGCATAGAACAAAAATTAATTGTTTATTAGTAAGAAAAAATACTTTAAAGTCAATAATTCCTGATCCGTCAATAAACGTTTCATATTGATTGACGCAGCAAAATATTTCACGATATCATTTAATGAGGTCTGTTGTTGTTTAAACAAGCTACTCTTATCTGTACGTTTAAACGAGGTGCAAATGGAAATAGAAATGAAGAGAAACGCTAACATCATAATAAATGCCAACCCAAATCTTAAAACTATAATCTAAAATAATATTTATGAATTAAAATACCCTTAGAAGTTTAATATACTACAAAAGATCGTAAAGATATAGGCTTGTAAAATATACATTTATTGCTAACATTGTTTTAAAAGTATGTTTAGCCAAATCAACATTCCTCCAAGGATATGATTAAAACCATTTGAGAACGCAATATGAAAGCCACCTTTTTTCACAAAGAATATATCTTTAATATGTGTTAATGTGTAATTATTAAATGCTATTTAGATAATGAAACCACCATAATATATTTTTAATACGAACCTTATTCTATGCAATAAATGACTGTATTATGTGGCATATAGTCAATAATATGTCAGCAAGCATAACTAAAATGTAAAAATTAAATTTCTAGTCAGTTTGTGACTTCAGTTTAAAGGATATTACACAATCCAGTGTTTAAAATGGAAAATATAGAAATCTCAACAATTTAAGATGGCAACACATAAAGCTGTTGTTCAAAGTAACACTTTAAGAAGAAGTTACAAAATTCTGACACAGATAAGTTTTTAATGTAGCTATTCTCACAGGGGTAGCGGATTTCTACCGCCGGATATTTACCCCCATGAAAAAATGCCTACGTCATTTTGACGTCACGAGGGGCGGGGCCTATACACGGTCAAGAAACAGCCCGCGACTGGAAATCTACCCCCGGACATCTACCCCCGGAAATCTACCCCCGGACATCTACCCCCGGAAATCTACCCCCGGACATCTACCCCCGGAAATCTACCCCCGGACATCTACCCCCGGAAATCTACCCCCGGACATCTGCCCCCCGTGGTCAGCTCTGTCATGTATCGGCCAATATTCACTGTTGTAATTGATTTTATTGACTGTTTTATGTAAATCAACGGCTCTTCGGTTAGTAATGTGATATGTCATTGTCTTGTTTAACATTATCTATCTTCCTAATGAAATAGGCTGTAACAGCGCTTTTTTACCCGAACTACTTCACCGATTAGGCTACTTCCTATTACTAGAGGGGAATTAATAATGAAATAATTAATTAATTTATTGATCAACCAGTGGCAGGCTTTTTATCAACATTTGATTGCACTGTATTCTTACCTCTAGTAATCAGAAAATAGCCTCTTTCAATGATATGTATTAAATTTCACGATCTGTGCTCGTGCATGCGCCGTTAGCTGTTACTGTATGTGAAAGTTGGCCAAACATTTAAATCACTGTCTAGAAATAAATCAAATGCTTAAGGGTCAAACTTTTGAAGGCCTTTATCAAAATATTATATTCAATATAATATAATTAATTGATTGTTGAATAAGATATTTAGCGTAGTGACGAAAGTTGTTCTGAAAAGCTGGTGTACCAGAGAAACACTTAATAAAGACGTTTTTATTTATTTATTTATATCGTTTTAATTACCATTTTGTGTTGCGCTAGATCTTAAGATTTAAAATTACACCCCGATCATAAAAATCGGTGAAGTAGTTCGGGTGAAAAAGGGCTGTTGCAGCCATTCCTAACAGTCAATAAAATCGATTACAACAATGCATCTTGGCCGATACGTGACAGAGCTGACCACGGGGGTAGATGTCCGGGGGTAGATTTCCGGGGGTAGATGTCCGGGGGTAGATGTCTGGGGGTAGATATCCGGGGGTAGATGTCTGGGGGTAGATGTCCGGGGGTAGATGTCCGGGGGTAGATTTCCAGTCGCAGGCTGTTTCTCGACCGTGTATAGGCCCCGCCCCTCGTGACGTCAAAATGACGTATGCATTTTTTCATGGGGGTAAATATCCGGGGGGAGAAATCCGCTACCCCGCTAAAGACAGTATTCGTCCTCAATATCTTCCTATGGAGAACTATTTTAAAAACTGTATTTTTCCTAGTGGATATAGAGCTTGTTTGACTAATATGGCTAATATAGGGCTTGTCAAATTAGCTTGTATGAACTGAACGATGCCAGACACCTCCATGCAATTGTTGATTTCAATATAGTTTTTATAACTATTATTGTGGTTTACAATCTGACCCAGGAGACGCTGGGTAACGCTGATAGTATCACTACACGTAGTTAACACGTAAAAATAACATCATAGTTCTTTTACATATCTATTGCATACTTATACAAATAGAGGAAAACTGGTACTTAACATTTTAGTTTACACTAAGAACGGTCAACTAAAACAATATTCAGCTATCACTAAAATATATTGCAATACGTATTAATTATCTGTTACAAAACTTCCTCTAAATGTCGCTAAAACAAGGAGGTTTAAAGTTTAATTACACTTCTATTACAGAGACAAAAAGCTCTTTGAATGAAAAGTTGATTTAATTAAATGAAGCTGAAGTTCGACATAATTTATAATCTAGATTAAATTGGTTCCTTGAGATGACTCAATTAGTGTTTAAACCCCAATTATTATACATTTACAAACAAATATGTAGTTTGTGTTAAATTGGTAGACTATTCCTTAAACATTCAATAAAATCATAAATGTAATGTAAAAAATAGCCAAATAAATTTCGGATCGGTGTTTTTGCTTTTGTTTTATAGACGGCCTTAAATACCGAAGAATAATCTTTTCCAATGAATTAACTTTTTAACTCTTTCATATTATTTGCATATTTTTCCTGTTAGTTTTAGCCCTGAAGGGAATCCTATTAACAATATTGTTGGCGTCACTTGTAGCAGGAAACCTAAGTCCTAAATCATTCAATGTGTTTTTGCATGGATCTAATGGTCAAATGACTATGATGAGCACTTGTTTGGGTAGTAACTCGATAAATCAACTAGTGGCCTCCTAGCGTAGGCACGAAATTAGGTGTTTTGTTTTAATTTTTACAGTGGCCTAAAACAATTTTTATTCAAATTTGTATGAATACATAAATAAAGGTAAATTGATTGAAGTAACTGATTTAATGATATATCTTAATACCTTGAGACAAATGGCATTGCTTGAAATATGAACGTGTTTCTCTGTGCCCTTTGTAGCAGCAAAGATTTACAGCAAGTATTCATTTTGAAATAAATAAAAACTAAAATCACCTGAAATTGTGCTTAGCTTACGTCCCTCTGTACACCCGTAAGCTAAGCACAATTTCAGGCTGCTTTGTGGAGATTTGATATACAGGTTGTCCATAAAAACGTTTCAGGACTTTGGGAAATGAATCCTCATACTAAAAGGAAGAAAAATGTTTATGTGAAGGTATGTCCGAAAATGCATATTTACCCAGTTATCCGCCATTTTGTTTTTATACAAACATATTTTTATCTGTGAAGTTTTTCATTCAATGATTATGAAATTTGGCAACCATGTTAACACACACAAACGATACATGTCCCTATCAAACGATACCAAGACCAAAAAGATCGGACAAAATATAACTGAAATATAAGGCTTTTGGGTAAAAATTAGGCAAAGTTAGTCGGGGAACCCTAAATTTTGCCTTATCTTTACACAAAAAACGTTATATTTCAGTTATTTTTTGTCCGATCTTTTTGATCCTGGTACCATTTGATAGGAAATTATGGATTCTAAAAAAAGTATACTTGACATTCTTTCATAGAATCAGCCGTTTTTGAGTTATTTCAGTTATAAAAATTCAAACGCATGCCATTTTAAAATTTACAATCGGAACAACTTTATTATTTTTTTTATAACAGTTCTTGTGTATGTTAACTTGGTTGCCAAATTTCATA